CCAGCCTTTATTTGTCGTTCATCAGACATGAGATCTCCTATTTGAACCATAAATTGTCTATTTTTCAAATGAGACTAAGATGTTTTATTCAATTCTAAAGGTGGAATTTTTAATCTTATATGAAAGGCCTTCATGCCATACCATTTCAAACACCCAAGCTACGTCTATAATTTTTGTTTATTTATTGTACTTTCATTTTTTTTAAATGTGTTTCCAAAATTTTTTATTACATTTTTGTAACAATTTTATTTCTTCAATAATATTATTTAGTTATATAAATTGATCTTTCACAAACAAAAAACAATAATCAACAAATTTTAAGCACAAAATAGTTTTTTCATATATTATTTTTATAATTTTATACTACATGTTTTCTCAACAAATAAATCAAATTATGATAATTTTCTTAAAGGTGTAAAAAAGTAGACAAAAATTTTGTGCAAAAAATGTAGTCTGAAAATTTTATATATAAAATTTCCCATAATTATTACGATGCTTTAAATTATAAAAAAGAAATAGTTTTTTTTATAATATATTATAGCAAATTGTTTCAGAAATTTTTAGAATAGAAACAGATATTATGAATATATATACATATCAATAGGAATCTTACCTTTGCATGAACTCACTACTCAACACAGTAGATAAAGAAAGAAATCGAGGAACCCACTGATGTGGTAAAGGATTTTAGAAGCATCAATCGGGAGTTCACTCGCACTTTAGAGCTCTCACCCTTAGGGGTCAATCTCCGCCGATTGAAAGAAATGAACCGATGTACTTCCACTGCGTTCTTACATGGATTCTTTTATCGTACAACTAATCTTGTGTTGTGACTGTGCAATTTTGCTACGCAGTAAAAGCTGGATCTGGAAGCAAGTGTGCAGATGTTAATCACTAATAAAAAATAAGGAACGCCACCCTGAAATAATACTAAGGATTTTTAGTGACACGCAAGTGGTCCGTTGTGGAAGGCATTTTCCACCTCTCACCCGCAAAAATTAAAAACTTCTCCGCACAAGTTCTTGATTTTGATCGACCATTTTGTTTAGTCCTTTGTGTTCCGATTGTTCCAGGCAATGAGCAGATTCTTAGTGAGAAAAGGACGTGTGCAAAATTTATGATCAATATCTTTAAATCTAAGATACTAGTACAGACAGCTGGAAATCAAATACATTCATCTCGCTGACCATTTATATAGTACATATATACTTTACAGGCTCTGTATGTTACACAATTCCTGGTAAACTTGATATACCCTGCAGAACATATAAAAATCTATTGGTATTAAATTGTTGAAGTAAATATCAAGACACTTGGAAGATTCTGCTAGCATAGATTATGTTATAAGTACGGTATTAGTTATGCTTGCTCTAGAAACAGTAAAAGTTTTATATTAAGTCTAAAAAGTAAAATTTTATGGAGTAAAATTAAGCACTTCAAATATAACTAAACATAACCCAAACACACTAACTTAAAAAAACAGTAAACGAAGCATATATTTATATAAATTCTCTTTAAAATCGAACTATATGTATATTTTCAGAACTTTACTAATGAAAACCACATATTTTCTTCTCTCTCTTTTTCTCACATTTACAAAATTCATAACTGCGCACGAACTTACCGAACTAATTTCAACTAAATTCTGTATAACTCTTGCTGCTCTCTCTCTCGAAAACGTAATTTTTAACGCACTCGTACCCGAACTATTGCTCCAACTAATAACGCGCTGCCAAAAACGACTTACACTCAACACGACACGCTCCCTTACTAACAAACAAACCGAAAAATTCGAGAACAGAGGGACAAAAACCGCTCGACGATTGGGAATTCAATAAGCTGGGCTCGATTATGCGCAACGCGCTTAATATTGTAGCTGCACAATGTGGTGTCTTTAGCATAGAATATATACAGCATATGTCCTATTTTTGGGACATCATGGCGCTTAGCAATTACAAATGTGGCGATAAGGAACTGATGCAGATGTTGCAAGCGCTCGAATACATACCGGATGAGTATAAAGAGATCTTCATCAACTACTATGATGACTTCATAACACCGAAATTCGCGGAGGAGACCTATACCAGTCTCATGGATACGCAAGTCTAGTGGAATTCATCACAGCAAAAACCAAAAAAATATAGAACTTTAAAAAGCAAAAAACCCAAAAAAGAGAAACCCAAACTAAGAAAATTAAGCAATTACGCAAAAGTAAAAGACAAAAAACCACTTTCAAAAACATGGTCATGGACTAAACTTAAAACAAAAAAAAACTAAGAAACTATATATCTTTAAGAAATTTAAGAGCAATGTTGTAATTTAAACTCAAAGCTCGTTACCCGGTACTCGAGCGCAAAACAAGAACAGACGACACCCACAGGCCACACAAAAATACTTGAATACAATGAAAGAACAGTGAGACACAACCTTGTAGGTAGCATCATGAAGAAAGAAACTAAAACAAAATAAAAATCAAATTAATGTACTTTTTTCGCTCTTACTTTCCATACTCAATTTTTTTTTTTTTTTTTTTCTTTCTCATAAAGTCGTCTCTACGCGGAAATACTCTTTAGAAAAATAAACTACTAATAAGCTTAACTAAAATTACTCATAAAAAGAAAACAAAATAAATTAGGTAAAACACTGAAATACACTAAGGTTATTGAGTGACGTAGATGGCTGAGCGCGTAAATGAGGGCTTACTATATATAAAATGGTCCTGAAATGCTAAAGAGCAGAGCAAAAAAAGTAGAGAAGTGCATAAAATAGCAAATATAAATTGTAAATACACAAGTGGAATAATGGAAATTGGTTGTAGTTGGTGCTTAGATGAGATTTAACATTTATGTGTTGCATACTTTTTGGCGTATAATCATGAAAATCCAAAAATTTCGTCGCTTAGTGCAAGTCACACTATTTAGACATTAGTTTATGACGGATATTGGTCAAAAACATAAATTTTGCAATAAAGCGTCGTTTTCGTAACGGGATCTCGAAATTTATAAAAATATTTTTCCGGGTTTATATAAATTTTCAGGCACAAAAAAATGTTCATAGTTTGAGTGATCTTAAAGTTATGCGGGATCCCGAAATTATTTTTCGGGATTCTACAAATTTGAAATTTTTGCAACGAAAACATAAATATTTTTGACGTTATTCTTCAACGGATTGTTGATAAAAAGCATTAATTTTGCAATAAAACTTAGTCTTCGTAACGGGATCCCGAAATTTATAAAAACTATTTTTTCGGGATTCTAAAAATTTTCAGGCACAAACAAATTTTCATAGTTTGAGTGATCTCAAAGTTATTCGGGATCCCGAAATTATTTTTTTAAATTATTTTTCGGGATGCTACAAGTTTTTGCAGCGGAACCATAAATTTTGCAAAAAAGCATCGTTTTCAAAACGCGAACTCGAAATAAATTTTCGGGATTTTAGAAATTTTTCAATTTTGTGCAACAAGTAATAAAAATTTCTAGCTCTTGTAGCAACACTTATTGAATATATAATTTCAAATTACAGAATCCCGAAATTAATTTTTAAATTTTTTGGTAAAGCAATATTCTTTAGACAATTTTCGGGATTTATAAATTGTTGGTTTATCTAAGACAAGTTTAAGTGCCGAGCCCGTAAGCTAATTTAAATATTTTTGCCAATGCCAACTAATTCCAAAGAAATTCCAGTGAATTTTTCGAACACACAAATTTAAAAATACATATAAACACAGATATGTACCGTTATACATGTAGTTAAATCAAAACATAAACGAATAGAACGCCGTATAAATTATGTACTAAAGGTACTCGTAAACATACTTCTCACTTACTCGTTGTACAATAAACTATTTAAAGAAATAAACTAGTAATAGTATGTATAAATAATTAAAGACAAAAGAAAGCTTTAGGAAATACATACACTAAAACTGAAAACTATCAAAACTGTGCAATATTACGAAAATAATATTAGAAGCAAAAAAAGCAGCAAATTCAAGGCGCGAAGAGGCTATAGAGGCGACTCTAAATATATACCACCATATATGTATGCAATGCGCCTAAAGTTAGACCTGTAAAAAATTTCAGCTGTTAACTGTGCGGTAAATGCTAGCGCAATGGCGTTGTGTAAGAAAGCATATAGTGGAAGAGCTTCAAACTAAAAGACATTTTCGAAAATATTTTAGCCCAAGAATTGAAAAAAATGCTACTAAAAGTCTGCTGCTTATTGCTCCTAAAAGTATGCTTATTTAGAATCGAATGAAACAATTGGACGAAAACTAGATATGGTGGAAATAATTCGAAGAGAAATTTGCGTTGTGAAAATTTTAATTAAAATTATAAAAATAAAAATATTAGCGTCAAGACGGGTGAGATCGTTGGAGTGAGCTTAAATTTTAAGAAAATAGATGTATTGAATATTTTGGAAAGAAGTGTGAGATTGTTAAGTGTTAGTAAAATAGCAGTAAATTATTGTGGAATGATTGTGACTTTTAAAAAATAATTCAAAATATATAAAAAACAATTTATTACTGAAATTAAATATATAGAAAAATGTTGTATTACAATTTCGAAATTGGATTCTGAAAAACACAAAAAAGTTGAATTTGAAATTTTGGGATAGCAAAATTTTTTATTACAAAATCGATTCTGAAAATTTTGAGGAAGGTAAATTGAGTACTGATATTTTTCCAATGATATTTTCGAAAATAAATCCCGAAAAAATTTAATACCAGAATATTTGGATTTCAGAATATTTAACCATAATCTGGATTGAGAGACACTGATATTTTACCAATTATATTTTCAAAAATAGATCCCGTAAAATCCGAAAAAGTGAATCCCGAAATTTCGAGAATTCAGAAAATAAATCAAAATCATAAATACTTACATTTTTTGCCTTTGCTTTCTACAACTCATATTTAATTCGAAAATAAGATTGAAAATTTGGAAATCGAGTTTTCAAATACAAAATGTGATATATTGACATTTTTATTATATTTTCGAAAGTGAATCGCGAATATTAAAAAAAAATCTTGAAGTTTCGGGATTTCAGAAAATTTTCAATAATATGACCGTGTTTTGCATATTGAAAATCATTTTTATTTATATGTGTCGAAATTAAATCCCGAAAAACTCTAAAAACGTTAATCGACAAATTTCGAAATTTCTAAAAATGTTTAATTAAAATTAAAAAACTTAAAAATTTGAAATTTTCTATTTTATTTTCGAAAGTGAATCTCGAATATTGAAATTATTTATATTTATATGTGTCGAAATTAAAACCCGAAAAACTCTAAAAACGTTACTCGACAAATTTCGGAATTTCTAAAATGTTTAATTAAAATTAAAAAACTTAAAAATTTGAAATTTTCTGAAATTTCTATTTTATTTTCGAAAATAAATCATGATAAATTCGAAATTTCTTGATTTCTGAAAGTTTTACTATAAAATTTTATTTAATTTCACCAAAAAAAAATATTGTTACACAAACACGGGTTCTTGTTTTGCTGGATTGCGAACCTTTGCTCATTTGGAGCATTCACAGAATTCAAAGAAAATCATTTTTGTACAAAATTTGAACCCTGATTCCTAATAAGAATTCTCTAATATTTTCTTCGGTTAAAAACAAATACGATTCAATACTCAAAACAAAATGTTCATTCGATTAAAACAATTATTGGAACTTTATAAAAAGCTGGCTTTTAATATTTTATCTATTCGATCCCGAAATTTCAGCACTATTTATTGTGACTAATCAACTTTTATTTTAAAATACAGTGAAAAACGAATAACAATTGTAGAGATTCTTCAAAAACGTTTTATATTTTTCGGGTTCCCCAAAATTCTGGACGCCATATTCTGTTTAACTAATTGTTCACTTCATACACAGCTAAAATTAATAAAATGTATAGTAAATCTTAAAAAACAATTTTAGTTTTACGAGATCCCGAAATCTCGGGACTACTTTTTTGACAAATCAACAATTATTTTAAAATACAGTGAAAAATAAACTACATTTGCAGATATGCTCAAATGAGCGTTCACATTTTTCGGGATCCCGAAATTTCGGGACTCCATATTCTGTTTAACTAATTCTTATCTTTATAGATAGCTTAAAATGATAATGTAATGTATAGAAATTTTTAAAAACGCTTACATTTTTACGGGATGCCGAAATTTCTGAACTCCTCGTTTTATCTGGCCAACTATCATTTCGAAAGGCAAATAAAAATAATTAGCATTTTCAAAAACTTTGCAATAAACGCTTACACTTTTACGGGGCTGAAACTTTTTATTGTTTATTTAATTTTCGATAAAAACATAAAAATTTAAAAAATTTTTTCTTAATAATAATTATAGCTTAAATTTTATTGCTCACTCCTCAAGCACATAGAATCTGCCCGTCTGAA